TCTAGGATCAGCACTGAAGAGTTGATTAGTTAAAAATGTTAGCCATATAATTGAATATCTGGTTTAAAATGATACGGATTTTTGTGAGGATCAAAAACCAAAAATTTTTAAGGTTTATAAAAAATTATATATATCCTGGACCTTGATGTGCTTAATAAATCCTGACTTCTCAAGAAATGCTTCTTTTTTAGGTTGACAAAAGCAATGGGAAACTGGTAGGTCATGCACAAGATTCTTGGTTTTAATGGATATGGTTAATTGGATTAAGAAAAGTTGAATGCCATCTATATTAATCTATTTGTGATTTTATTCTAAATTATGTATTATAAATCCTTATGGCTATAGAAACCAATCACTCTGTATTTTGGAGTGATTTTATGTATAGCACAAACCTTGTTTTAGCATGATTAATACTGTTTTCCCCAACAAGTACAAGTTTTTGAATAGTGACGTCAGGTTAAGAAACCTCATCACATCTTAAAGGCAGTATGTAACCAATTATTGGCTTAAAAATACGGATAATATTTAGGAAGCAAATAGATTTTTTAAAAAATAAAAATAAAGCATATTAGAATTATGCTTTGGGGGATACCTTTGGGTTACTGGGTCGGCATCATTTTCTGTCCTAAACAAAAGAGGTCAATCGTTTAGAGAAACTTTTAGTTTATGCAGATGCTAGTAAAATAAGCATTTTTTTGGTTACCATTTTGACAGCCAAGTTAGTAAGCAAAATGTCTTTAACAGTTTGATGACATAAGCTACTGATTAGGACTTGGAGTATTAATTCAGCAGCTAATTTCTCCTGTTTTCAAAATAACTGTTGTTCGGCCATGATTTTTAAAAGATAAAATCCTTGTGAAGGATCATTTTGGTATTTGATCTTAACCAAGTGATTATTAGAAAAATGTATCAACTCCATACCATCTCCCAAAGTAGTCTAAGAAAACTTGAAAATGTTAAGGTTTGAATCTTTAATTTATTTCACTTAAATACATCGTTTTATATCATTTTTGTAACATTTCTTTTTCTAGTTAGTGGGCTGTTCTTACAGACTTTGTGTACCACTGCTTCCGTTTATTCATTTGTATGCTTTTATGTCCCATAAATTATTTTAGAAAGAAAATGCTGATCAAACTCAGGATATTGACATTTTTGTTGACTAAAAATGGCAATCACTAAAGTAGGGAATCTGGAGTCTGGCTTATATCAATATTGGTAGTTCAGATTGTCTTTGTTGACTTTTTTTTTTTTTTAAGCACAATTCTAGCTCAAGTTTGTTGGCTTTTGTGCATTTATTTGCGCCTAGGCTGATGAGAAGATACTGAGTCATATCTGATTAAAAAGTTTGTGTTACCAGGTATCTCATCTGAACATGGTCATTTTTGGCCACATTGCTATTTCATACTAGGACTTGGGATAATATAACCAAAATGTAACTCAAGTTGTACCCTTGGGTTGGTGGAAGAGTGCCGAGTGTGCTAGTCTCCCAAGCAGAAAACATCATAGTGCCCTGCAACTCAACAAAGCCATTATTAGGGCCATGAAGCTCTTTTGAACATAAGACAGAAGCCCAGTGTTGTTCCATGAGATGCTACCCCAGGAGGGTTATTAACTTCATATTGAGCCGGGAAAGGATGGGGGTTTCTGTTAGGGTCCACTACCAGTTTACTTTGGTTGGAGTATTGATCTACTCATTAAGGTTGATAGACGTTTTGAATAACTAAGACATACAGAATCCTCCTGAATCTTTAACAGCTAATTGATGTTATATAATTAACTTAATTGGTGATGCAGTTAGGTCACTTGAATCTTTAAACACCTATAATAGGTGTTAGAGACATTTTAATCTCTTATTACTAAAAATATCTCTCAGAAATCGATGTCCCCATGGAATTTATGGTTACTAATTATATGAATTGACTTAACTATCTTGAAGCTTTAGGGAAGTCAGCAGGTGTGTAGACTCTTTCAAATCAGAACATAAAATTGGAACTTTTGGAAAAATTGATTCAAGCTTTCCTATTACCTGTGCAAATCAAAACTAGCACAAGCAAGTAATTTTGCATAGAACAAAAATGTTAACCATTGTCTTGACTGTCATACTGAAGTGGCTGGGAATGAAAGTTTTTAGTTTGATAGATTTGTCAGTATAAAACTGGATGAAACCAAGTATGAGGAATAAGTTTAGAGCTTTGGGAATTGTAAAGTGACTTTTGTAACTTGTTCTTTGTGTTACCTATGAACCATTAGGATTTGATCTGCCTTTGTGGGCAGGTCCAGTGGTTTAGGAATTAGGCTTTAGTATAGATTTTTATCTACATCTGGGTCTCCTGGGATGGGTGCTTTTTCATTAGCTTTGGCTGCAGATGGTTCAGAGCGGCTTTTCCAGCTTCTGGCCCCTTCTGGTTACTGGGATGCCAGCACAGTTACTTTGGACATTCTTATTAAGAAGTAGTAAGATTTTAACAAAGTATGACCAGATTTTTGAAATTCTGGTCATGAGTGTGAAATTCTCAAATTTACTTTAAAAAGTAGAAGTATATACAATTTAATATTTGATATAAAGGAAAGGAAATTGTAGCAGCTTTTGATGTTTCTTAATCCCCATTAGAGGGCTTGAAACTTTGTAGCTAAAAAACCCATTTAGCACTCAGAGTGCTTTTCGATGCCTTAGAAATAGATAAAAAAAAGATTTTGGTTATCGGAAGCTAGGATGTCTGAGAAAGTTCATTATATAGCTATTAGATCTGCCTCTCAGGAAAAGTACTAACTTGTTCTTTTTGTTCCTGGCTTTCCTCAGTTTGTGAGATTACTCTATTTTTTTAAATATAATTTTATTTCTTTTAATGAATTTAAAATAAAAACCTTTGGAACAATATATCTCATTGTGGGTTTCTTTATTTTAGATACCAAAAAGCAGTCCAAATGTTAAACCACTCTGAAGAACAGGCAGATGGTTTGTTGTCTTTTCATGTTTCCAGCCCAGGGTATGTGTATGGGGAGCGGGGGATTGTGGTGTGGGGAGAATGTGGTGGTGGGGGACAAGCAGGGGTGCTTTGGTCCAAGTCTAGATTTCCCTTAGTGGCTAGGGAAATAGTTTTCTCTGAACATGGAATGCATCTTTAGTTATATTTTTAGTCACTTGGTCTAATCTAGAAATGGGTACTGGAATAGGGAAAGCAATAAATGGGTTCCTGCTTTATCACCTAGTGTCTCTGTGTGTGGTTTCCATTTAGTGGTAAGAAATTTGTATGTTTTGAGGTAGTCAAGAATGTGAAGTAAGGCCTTTCCCCTAATACAATTTTATGGTGTATACATTATCTTTATTTACATGATACCACACAGTGTCTATAGAGATGAATTTGATTCCATAAATATTGTGAGTCCAAGAAGGCGATTTGAATTGAGCGTTTCAAGAGAAAATGCCATTTAGATACTTTTCTTCTATGATCCTTCAACTATTTTCATGTCTTGGGAAATAAATTTCTACTTGTTGCATCTTAATGAAAATTGTATTACAGTAATTATTCTGTGGTTAGTATGTCCCATTTCATTTTTATGAATTAGTTGTAATGCAGAATCCAGTAACTTGTCTTGGGGAATTTTATAGAGAGATTATTTCTTTGTGAAGGTGCCAGGTCTTTTTTAATAAAAGCACTTTTAGACCTACTGCTCTTCTGCTGCCTGTGTGTCTGGAGACTTCATGTGCATTTTACGTACACTCAGACTTTTGTACTGCAACATCCCGACTCCTCACAGAGCTCTAGGCCTGAAAGGGCATTTAGAGAAATTGGGGTTGTAGAATTGGGTTCGGAAAAGAATGGAGTTGACAGTGAGGCAGTCACATGATCCACTTTTTTTGCAGCCCATATGCCAAGTCTTGCCACTGCCTTTGAAGCAGTTGTTAGAGCACCAGCTTTCAGTTTTACTTCCTAAATGTATCTCTTGAACCTGTCTGCTTCTCTCCCCTAACCCCACCCTATGCAGAGCCATCTTCCTCTTTGCCTGGACTTAGTGGTTGGCTCCTCATTGGTCTTCCTGGACAGCAGAGTCATTGCATGCACTCCAGAACTGCTCTGTCGCTCCCCATTGCACCCAAGGTGAGACCCAATCTCCTTGTGATGTGGCTCTGTTTTCTTTGTGCCAACTGAATTTCTCTCCATTCTCCTACATTGCTTTGGCCCCCAGGGCTTTTCCAAGCTTTTTTTTTTTTACTCCTTTCTGGGACAGCTCATGTCTGGACTGTAGCATCTCTTGTTTTTCATTTACGCTTCTTGTCTTAGCCCCCTGGCATTCTACACAAGGTTAATCCTGTTATTTTCCTTTATGGCACTTTTCAGTGTTTGAGATAATATATTTGTGCATGTTTGTTTAAGGTGAAGCCTCTCTGAGGAGACTGCAGTCTCTGATCATGTTTTTATTCTGCGCTGGCACAGGGTAGATGCTCAGTATTTTGAATGGATACATAGAAACATCCAGAGTTTGGGGAAGGGTTTTAGCACTGTACAGCTTTCTGGAAGGGTCTGTAATGCATTTCTGAAGCTGTACAAATTTCTTTAGAGGTTGGAAGAAACTTAGATGCATCCTCAGGGACATAGGGTAGAGGAGTTAGCTACTGCTGGCCAACTGAGACCTGTGCCTTCAAAGAATGCCCTTTGACCTACTGGCCTGGGCTAAACAAGTTACATCAGTGTTCCTACTGTCTCTCTTGGACAAAGTGTTTAGTTACTGAGATTTCTCTTTTTATCCACTTGGTTGATAATCAGAGAAAAAATTTATGTGGAATGTGCAGTTTTGGTATGGTGTCTGAAGGGGAGGAAGGAGAAAGATGTATGATGTATTCAGCTGTGTTTTCTAATTAGGTAGGAATTTCCGCCCAACTTTGACTGGTTTTATCGTGGAGGTGGGGGAAATTGAAACCTTATACACCAGAACATGTCCATCACAGGGGCAGCATGGGTAGAGAAATGCTTGGCAAACTCAACTTTCCTGATACTCAGAAAGACACAATTGTTACTCAAAGTGCTCAGTGTCACAAATGGATAACAACTTAGAGAATATATCTGTGCACCAGGAGAAAACCTTAAAGAATGGATGTTATAAATCTAAGCAGCAATTAACATAAATGGTGATTTGGAACTGAAATTGGCTTTTATTTTAATGTGACCACATTGTAAATACTTTTGTATTATTGCCATAGGAAGAAATCAATTTGTATTAAACTCTTTGGTAATTTCTCAGAAAGAATGTCTCCAGGTTGGGCTAAGAGTCCCCCCCACCCCCCATGATTTCACCTCAGACATCCTTTCTTCTCACTTGCCTTTCACCTTGGCTCAGAAATTCCCGCACAAGAGCACTGTGAGGAGACAAACCTGGAATGCCATATAGAATTCTAGAAGCCAACTCCAGGGGTAGGGCAGTTCCGTGGGACTGTGGGAGACTTGGACAAGCAGAAGTAAGGACAGGTATTCTAGCACTGGCAGGAAGCAGGCACAGCTGGGCCCTGGATGGCTCATGCCTCAGGGTGGAATTTGATCAGCGGGCTTACACTTAGGGAAGACAGTGGTCTCCACAAACATGGAAGGAGTGAGCAATGTCGCCTTTGCCATGGTGCTGCCTTAGGCAGCAGTATCTCTGATGGGTGCTGGCTTTGCTGGTATGTCCCATATGAAAAAGTCAAGGACAAAGGATCTCTGCAAATCTCAAATTGTAAATGACTGTGCCTCAAGTGTGACAGGATTCTGTGCCCTTCAGAAATCTAGCTTTGAGGCAGTACCATGTCAAAAAGGCTTCTTAGTTACTGCAAGCCTTTTAACCTGTGCAAAGGCTTGGTGTAGGGAACTCCACCAGTTTGACTGACCAGCGTGCCTAGGACCTTTCATGGGGTTGGTTGCCCTCCACCCCAAACTGCTGGCTGTGCTGGTACTGATAGGATGAAGCTTGGTGCAGTGCTTTACTGCCATGTCACCCAAGAGTTGTTCTCAAACTAGTGCAACAGGAGCATCTGGGGATACTTGTTATATATACAATTCCCTGGGCTTCTTCCCTGAAGGTTTTGATTCATAGGGTCTGAGAGTGGGCCCTGGGAATCTTTTACCAAGCACCCCAGTGGTTCTGATGTCCATTAGGCTGGGAAGTCTTGCAGTAGGTGACAGGGTGATCTGGAGCCCAACAAAGTCCCAGGGGCTCAAAGCAGGCTCCTAGGGGAGGACCCCTGTTCTGCCAGCACTGCTTTCCCAAGAATTGACTCTTTCCAGGGTCCACGGGTCCCAAGTGCTCATCCGCAAAGGGATAAAGAAGCCATGCACAAAGGGCCATTTTAGGAAATTTTTTATTGCAAGTTCCATTCTGCATATTGATTTTTGAGAGAAAACACTGGGAATGCATCTTTCCTAAGGAAAGGAATACAGATGACAGCAAGACACATTTTAGTTGTTAATAAAGAACAGGATCATTTTTAGTCAGCATTTTAAGTCAATAGTACTTAAGCAAAGTACCTAACAGATTTTTGTAGAAGGTTAATAAAAGAGTTTATCCTCCCTAGGAAATAGCACCATTTGGTGTAATGAAATGTTGATACCAGGATCAAATTTTTGTCACCAATCAGCAGGCTAAGCAGTGAGCAGTGAAGAGAGGCTGCAAGGCCAGTACTGCGGGGCATTCCTGGCTGGCTCTACTTTGGGATAGTGAAGGCCTTGTCAGAGCCTGCCATGCATGCTTCAATTTCCTCCACAGTACGGGGCACACAGGTCAGCAGCTCCATGCCACTGTCAGTCACCACGACATCCTCCTCGATGCGGACCTGGGCCAGACCGACAGACACTTGTTAATCACTGAGCTGGTCTTGTGTGCTAGATTAGAGGGTCAGACCTGCTCTACGCTGATCCCACTGCTGAGGAAGAGAAACTCTGAGGAGCAGTTGTTCCTCCCTGTGATGGAAGGGGCTGGTCTCAAAGCCTCAGGACAACCCCCTAGAGGAAGGCTTCTCCCATGGGGCCATCTGCTCATGCTTCCTGCTCACCCTGTACTTGCTGGGTGGATGGGAGCCCCTGGAGTGGGCAGGGGTTTTGCAGAATGTATGTCTCTTCATATGGAGGGGTGAGGCTCCTATCTGGTGACAGACCACACCAAGGGGCAGCAAGGCCCTTCTCAAGTGAGGAAGTCAGGATTATGTCTCTTCCACTAGGGCCCCTGTCCTGGGGCAAAGAGGTGACGAGCAGCTGCAGTGGAGCGGTGGACATTCCAGGAGCAAGAACATGGGGCCCTGGGCACTCACCCCACCAAAGCCACGAAAGCGCTGCAGGACCTCGCGGTTAAAGAAGCAGGCGCGGGTTGGGTCAGCCAGGGCCTCGTCCAGGACATGGTCGATGAAGTAGATGCCCGGCTCCACAGTGAGCACCATGCCTGGCTCCAGGTGCCGTGCAGTGCGCAGGCTCCGCAGGCCAGGCTCATCAATGCGCTGTATGCCCTGTGGAGAGAGGAAAGGTGAGGAGGACCCAAGTGAGGGCTCCAGGGCTGGTTACTGGTGGCACTACCTCCTCAGGATAGATAGGCATGTGAGGGCCAGCTCCAGCCCTGTGGGCTCTCTGACCCTGGAGGTCTCCAGCTCACACTCACCTGTCGGGCTCGGCCACGGACACTTCTGACAAGACCCTCCACTCTGTATATACCCACAGATTTTGAGTGTTCCTGACCCCTTGTTGCCCTTGGAACTGCCTTCACCCAGGCCCCTCTCCTGGCCAGTGGAATGGTTGAAACCAAACCAGTGAAGCCAAAAAAGCTCTTAGGGAGGCTGCGAGGCCTTCTGGGGCTGAATCTTTCCTTCCAGGCAGCCTAAGTGGAAACTGGCTCCAGAAGTGCTGGTCCCAACTCCCCCAGGCCAACTCCCAAGTTTTCCATGTGACTATTTAGGAAGAGGACAGGTGCTGTCATCAGGACGGGCCTGCCAGCATCAGCACTGGCGTGTACATGCACAAATGCACACATACCTCTTTGTGTGTGGCTCCCGAGGAGCGCCATGGACCCATCAGCTGAGCCCTGGGAATCAGCCCCTAGCCCTTGCAGAGGAACGAGCAACAGTGGCAGCTGCTCCCTGCAGAGGCCCCTGCCATGCTTCTCCACCCCCCAGTGCACTCACAGCCTGGGCCTGTCCACTTGTACAAGCACAACTGACAGGGCCTCAGCCCGGGCTGAGGGCAGGTGGTGCCCAGGACACTTGCAGAAGAGTTCCTGCCTTCCCAGGTGTCTGGGGCACCCATCTGGCCTGTGGCCAGGGCCTCTGAGCAAGTGGGCAGTGGATGAGTTTTCTGGTTGGGATCTGAACTTGCCCTGCTTGCTGCTTCCCTGGGAAGCCCAGCTGCTGGAGATGGAGCTGTCATTTCTGACTGTTTTAGGGGCCAAGAACATCAGACTCCAATTAGTGGTTCACGTAAGGTAACCAGAAACAGGCTGGCTCAACCTACAAGGCTGGGCACAGCAGGGAAGGCTGTGACTGATTCCACGAGGGCGGGGACAGCCACTCTGACCTGGTGTGAGCAGGCTGGGAGGAGGCAATAAGGAGACACCAAGGCACTGACCCCTGCTGGGCCATGCTCTGGGCACAGACTTTTGGCTGGTGGTGTCCCTGTCCCACAACACTTTCCTCTGGGCTGCTGACCTGGAGGCTGCTCAGGAGGGCAGGAGATGCCAGAAGGCAGGGTGCTTCTCAGCTGAAGGGATCTAGAATGATGGTCCTTGTGCTCAGGTGAGATGTTTGTGGGGTAGAGCAGGGGCCTGTTTCCTGCCCAGAAGCTGCTTGTCCTGGGGTCTCTACTCCAGGATTTTACTGCTCCTGCCATCCAAAGCCTGTGCCTGCCCATTGACACCCCCTCCTTATCCCTTTCTTCATGCTACACCCTAAGTGCCTGTCCCCTTCTTTCTACCCTATTGCTGCCAAAGCCAGGAGCCTGGTGAAGGCAAAGGCCTGACAAGGTCATGTCTGTCTCTTCCCAGTTACTCTCTGTCCCCGTGGGCCCACACTGAGCTACTCCATGGGTGTGCAGCAGGAGGCAGTTTTGCTGAAGCATGGAGAGATGTGTTTCCCTCCACCCAGAGATTTTTCAGGGCCACCACTCAAACCTGGCCTGGGGGGAGATTGGAAGGGACCGCTGGTGGGCACAGAGGCTATGCCTACCCCAGCCCACTGACCAGAGTAGTTAGCTCTCAGGGTCTGCCCCCTGGGGCCCACCAAGAACAGGGCACAGGTCCAGATGCACCTAGGAGGGCAGCCTGACGGCCAGAGCAGGGCCAAGGGAAGGATGAAGGGCTGGGCCAAGTGGACTGCTGGCCCACGAAGGGGTGAGCACGAGCCCTCCACTCCTCTGGCCCAGGAGCTTCAACCCTGCTGGGGTGGGGAGGGGCCCGCCCACGCCTTGCCCACATATGCCTCTGCTTGAGAAGGCATCAACTTTTACTGGGCTCCAAGCAGAGGAGACCCAGATGTGTCTGTAGGCTTGAAATAAAACAAATGACTTTTATAGGAAAAGCCATATTTTTTCCACAGTGTTTATCTGTCAGAAGAATAGACTCTGTGAGCACAAAGGACTGCTTACTGGAAAAGATGAAAACAGTTTGCTGCCAATTTTCTCTGGTGGAAAAAAAGTGCTTTGGCGACTAATGAATAACGAACCTCAGCTAACAATGTCTGGAAGGCTCTACTCTTGGCTCCCTGCACACAATGGGATGAATAGAAATTAGGAAATTAAAACTGATTTTCTTTCTCCAAATTTAACTGTTTACACTTGAGGAAAAAATAATTGAATAATAATGCTTCTCTTGAGCAATCCCCCCCTGCCCCCCCCCCCCCGCCAAAAAAAAATTGTTCTTAGTGCTTTCAAAACACCCCGCAGCTAAGAGGCCAAGCCTAGTCTTGGCTAACTGGCTGGTGGGCCCCAGGGTGTGCACCGATTGCACAATCAGCCCCCTGCACCATGGCAGCAGGCCAGGTGGTGGGATGGGCGCACCCCCTCCTGCCAGGGCTGAGAGGCCATAGCCACCTGCCCAGTAGGGCCTCCGAAGGCCCTCAAGCACCCTCTGGGTGGTCCTTTGAGGATTGGTGGTAGGAGGGGGAGGGGAAGTCTTGTTTGGAGATGCCCCTCACAAGCTTCCCTCCCCTGCCAAGGGTCCCAGGAGTGCCTGGAGATGAGAGGCTTTAAGGCCTCAGGTGTGCTGGCCCATGGGGCCTGGGAAGCACAGGGCACTGCAGCAGAGGAGCAGGGGCAAGGGGTCTGCTTCTGGGCTTGTAGGGGGCCACAGTGAGTTACCCCCATCTGAATGAGGCCAGAGGCAGGTGACATGAGGGGTGCGGTGCAGTCTGGTCTGTCACTAGGACCCAGCTCAGGCCCCATGCCCTGAGGAGACCCTGTGTACTGACCATCTACCACCCTTCTGGGCAAGCACTACCCCCAGCACCCAGCCCAGGCGAGCAGACAGCACCCACCTCTGCACCCAGGTCCCATGGAGGCAGCCACTGGAGGAGGAATGCTTGTGGATCCACCCCTGCCTTGAGCAGGGCCCTTGTCGGGGGCACGCCAGGATCCCAGTTCCTCCCTTTTGCCCCTCTGTGTACCACAGGGACCCAAGGAGACTCATGTCTCCTGTGCCATTACACCCCCAGCCGTCTCCCAGAGCCCCACCCTGTTCTGGCGAAGGCCAGGCTCACTAATAGCCCACAGGCAGGTCACTCCGGCTGACAGGTCCACACTGACCTCTGGGTAGCCTCCCACGTCATGCACATCAATTCCCAGGAAGTGGCCAAGCCCATGGGGCATGAACACGGCTCCCATGCGGGCCTGGACCATGGCGTCCACACTGCCACTCAGGATGCCGATGCGGGCCAGCTCCTCCAGGTGGATGCGGTCAGCCAGACGGTGCATGTCAGGCCACCAGACACCTGTGGGCTCAAAGAGAGGCTGCTGTGAGCTGTGGAAACTGGCAGCCAAGTCTCTGGTAGCCTGGCCAGAGCTCTGCCTGGAAAGGGGGGCCACACCAGGGGCCAAGGGTGATGTGGCCCAGTGAGGCCTTCCGTGCTGGGCTTTCTCAGCCAAAGCTCTCGACCTCAGGACCCTTCTGGTCTCCATTCTGCCCTTAGGGGTAGGCTCCTGTCACCCATGACCAGGGGCCCAGCCCACGTCTACTCTCTAGCCCTTGCCATGTCCACCCCTGACCAGCATGTGCTTCTGGGGCCAGGGGAGCCCAGCAAGATCCCTGGGCATGAGGAGAAAGGCATATGCCTCCCCAGTAGCTGATGTGGGGTGGCCTCTGGGTCTCAGGCCCAAATGCCGCAGAGCTTCAGGCCTGGGTTTTATTCCTGTGGGGCAAGGGGGAAGCCGAGACTGGGGTAGGGGTCATCCCAAGGATGGGGCTGAATCACCCTTGGAGCTGCTGTGGGGAGCAAAGGTTTCTGGGGTGAAGGTGCAGCTGGCACAGCCTCCCGGGCTGGCTGGCAGGGGTCTGCAGCCCTGCCTAAGAGCACCGACAACCATCTCCATGGGAGCCCAGACATCCAAGCCCTGGGCTGCTGATCAAACTCATCTTTGCCCCATGTTTCTGAAGCAAAGGTCACTGTGGAAAGCTTCCCAAGCACACAGGGGCCACACAGGCTTTGTGAGGCTCAGGGGCCTGAGCCCAGAGCCAGTCCTTAGCCCTGCCTGGCAAGGAGGCCTTGGGGGCTATAACACAGGGCACTTGGAGAGAGCTACCCTCAAAAGAGCCTCAACCAACATCAGCGCATGCCCTGCCCTACCCCTTGGGCTTTCTGGAATCCCCATCCCCAGCCTCTCTCCTCAAGGGGGCTCCAGCCCACCTCTGGACTCAGCCTGAGCAACAGACCAGGACTCTAGGCCCATGAAGCCTCCTGCCGTGACTTTGCAAGGACTGAGTTTGGGCAGGCCAGGTGCTGGCCCTAGGACACTGAGGGCCAGGCAGGGGGTGTGAGGGCCTATATCACTGTGCAGTGCCCTGGCCAGAGAGGACAGCCAGCGCCAGTCCCTGCAGCACCCTCCCGGCAAAGGTCAGCCCCACAGGGTGGAGCACCCTTGGCTTCCCAGGGCCTCCCTGCCACATCCTACTCGGCTCAGAGCTAGAACCTGCCCTCCACTTTGTCCCAGCAGTGATGACTACTGCTGCAGGAGCAGAGTACTGAAGATTGCCCATCATGATGGGCCCTGCTGGACCCTGAACTGGGAGGACTGGGCCATGAGGCTCAGACGCTACTGCTGGGCACCAGTCCCCCACCCTGGGGCCTCTTCCCTGCCAGAAACAGATGCTCCATGGTAGGGTCTTGGACTGGCTGGAGGTACAGAGCTTTGAGCAGGTGGTGGGGCCACACCTGGCCAGTTCACACAGGGTAGCACCTGACCATGGCCCAAAACCTCAGGGAGGCAGGGGGCAGAAGACACCCAGAACTGTCTAGAGAGAGGATGAGCGGGAGGAAAGAGAGATCCTCTTCAGAGCCCAGCTTCCAACTCCAGCCCTGTCTACCTGCCCCAGCCTGCAGGTGCTGAGGTGGGAGCAGCCATCCTGGGGTCTGGAATCTGACTACAATGATGCAGCCTCAAGGGAGAGTCTGGGCAGGCCTTGGGACACCTCCAGCTGCTGCTGGCTTGTGTCTGGGGCATTCCCAGGCATACACAACACTCCTGGCTGACCCAGTCTGCACCCGAAGGTGGAACCAAAGTGGGGGGTTTTCTCTGATGGCATAACATGCCTGATATGGAGACTGGGGTTAGGAATCCCAGCTCTGGTGTGCACCTGCCTTGTGACCTGAGCAAGCTCTCCTGCTTCGCTGAGCCTCAGATGCTGCCTCTGTCAAACAGCTGGATGTGGGCCCTAGAAAGCTGGCTGCAGAGTCTCCGGGTTAGGAATCCCAGCTCTGGTGTGCACCTGCCTTGTGACCTGAGCAAGCTCTCCTGCTTCTCTGAGCCTCAGATGCTGCCTCTGTCAAACAGCTGGATGCGGGCCCTAGAAAGCTGGCTGCAGAGTCTATGGTATCTACCAGGGACTAAGGGCAGCACCCCAAATGGTGGCATTAGCCACTATTCCTCCATCACTTGTGACCAGGCAGATGCTGGTTTCAACACTGCAGTTCATTGTGCTTGTGGGGCACAAGCCAGGCCTGCCCCAGCCCTGGCCGCTGCTCTTCTCCAAGACCAAGAGAAGCCCTCCCCACCCCACTTTATCCTCCCCGGGTGGCATCCTCCAGAGGCCAGGCTGCCTTCTGTTCCAGCGCACTGAGGTCTTCCGCGTCAGACCCTTTGCTGTTGCCTGTGCCAGACTTGGCCTGTAATTCCTCATCCCTGGGGTCTCAGCATGAGAGTCGCTGCCACCCTGGAAAGACCTTCCCCTGTCACTTCCCACTGTTCTGGTTATTTCTCTCCTTGCATCTTCCAGCCTGGGATGGTCCCCTAGACAGATCTGCTTTCTTGCTTCCCCTGTCTCCCTGCCAGAAGTGTTTCTTGAGGGTAGGGCCCACCAGATCTTAGATCTCCCCCCACCCTGGCACAGAATGTTCTGGAGTAAATGCTCTTAGGTCTGCTTCCACTCAGAGCCTCAGGTCCTATGAGCCCCCCTGAAACAGCTCTGCAAACTCGGCCCCCATCAGGCAGCCTGGTGCATAGGGGCTGAGGAAGGGCTTCCTGGGTGGTGGCTGAGCCCAACCCCAGTCCAACTCATTTCTCTTGGACAGAGGCCTTTCCCAGTCACTGAAGAGGAGCCCCAGGAAGAGCAGCCCGACTTCAAACCTGGCTAACTTCAGTAGTGGGACTGTGGTCTTGGCCTGGCCTCAGCAGCGGGTGGGAATCAGGTATAAATCATGCTCCGTGGTGGCCCTACATGGGGGCTGGCCAGTGCCCGCCCAGACATGCATGCGGCCCCGGAGGCCCCCACGGCGCCTCTAGTCTTCTTCGCTGTGCACCCTCGGGGAAGGCCTTGCACACAGCTCTCTTGGCTGGGAGTGGGGAGTTTCTGCCTGTGTGTGGTTAGGGTTGTGACAGTGATTAAACTTCCAGCATCTTGGCCCCAGTGTCTGGCCCGGATGGTGGTTACGACACCCACAGCCTGGGTGGGGGGCCCCTGAAGTGTGTGAAGGTTACTGTCCTGGGGCTAGGCTGAGAGACTGGATGCAAACCTGAGGGGCTCCCTGCCAGCCTAGGCCCAGCCCATGGTGAGGAAGGCCCACCCTCCGACTTCTGGGCTCCGCCCCCCTCAGCAGCCTGCGGGCACCTTAGAAACCACTGGTCAAAGCCAGAGGCATCACTGACCCCAGGCCTGCCCTTCCTGGGGACGCCACAGTGGGAAGCACACTGCAGAGACTGGGTGCCAGCTGCCCCATACCCCCTCCCATCAAGCACCATGTCTTGTCCTAGCTCCCCTGAGACATCTCTTCAACCGGACCCCCTCCTGCCCCCCGAGCCCTGCCCAGTTCCCATCCCTCTGCTGTATCCTGCATACTGCTTGGAAGGACACTGGGGCCATCTCTTCAGAGCATGGGGCAGAACCAGCCATACCTAGTTGAGGACAGAGCCCAGGTTCTTGAGCCTGGCCTCCATCTCAAGCCTCATCCCTCACCTTCTCCTTGGTGGGGCAGCTAGACCAAGGTGGCAGCCAGATCGAGGCCAATGGTCCTGAGAGCCAGTGCTCGCTGTGCTTTCCTCATGCTCTTCCCTTAGCTGAGACCCCTCCAAGCCCCTTTCCCGAGATGCACTGCCATCCTTCCTGTGGGCCTCTGGGTTGAGGTGCTTGCTTCAGGAAGCCCTCCCTGACTGCCCCTTCCTGTGCTGCCAGAGTGCCTCCACCACACGCAGCACGGTGGCCCAGCTGGGGTCTGGTTATGGCTTCTGTGCCCTGCTCCGTGCCTGGACACAGCAGCAGTGAGCAGCAGCCTCAGCCCCTCGTGCCTCTCTTGTAGCTAGTGCTGTGACCCGCAGGCTCACGATTCAGGGGGCCCCACCTTGCTCCTTTGTGTACTCTGACCCCACGGTGGGCAGAGGAACCTCTGGGTTAGTGGCCCGCGTCTGCCTCATGAAACGTTTGGGCTCAGAGAAACAAGAGCCCCTTGGTGCCCAGGCCATAAGACATATCCAGAGAAGCCCCAGGTTACCGGCTGCTCTGTGCTCACCTGGTTCCCCCTAGACAGAACCCTCTCCTGCTGGGCCTGGGGCCCCGGTGGCTCCTTGGAGCCTCTACAGCATCCATCACAGCCAGAAGGCCTCCTGCCCAGAGTGTGACAGCCCAGGGGGCTCCCAGAGGGCCCCATGTGCTGGATCCTCAGAGCTCCTTCCAGACAAAGAGCTCGCTTCATCCACAGACAGTGACCCTCAGGGGATGGATGGTGTGTGAGCCAGGCCCTGGGAGTGCCGGAGGGAAGGCTCAGGGCTGGGGTCCCAGGGCAGGCCCCATAGGCTGCCTGGCAAGCTGAGCTGGCGTGGGGCTAAGGGACTCCAGTTCACCCTATCCTGCACGGGGGTGAGTAGACCCCCATCTGCTGCCAGAACCTCTGAGGACCCGCTTGCCCTGTACAAGGGCCAAGCTGCAGGCGCCTCGATGCTGGGGCAAGCGTGGCTGCCTTGTGCATACTCCCTGGCAGAGCACTGTGAGGGAGTAAACAGAGGCCAAGGAGGATGGGGAACTCACCCACCGCCCGCCCCACAGCCAGCAGGAGGGGTGGACAAAGCCCACACCAAAGACAGCCCGCCCGGCTCCTGCCACAGAGGGCACCCATGGCTGGGGTGACACATGGTCCCTGTACCTCTGTCTGCCCGACCCCCTGCATTCCGCACTTAGAGACAAAGACTTAAGGACAAGACCTGAGGGGAAGACCAGTCACTCAGCCGCTGCCCATCTGGCAAAGGTGCCCCGACCATGGTTCACAGGTGACACATATCAGATCAGGTG